AATGCGTCAGCGGCTGCAACAATGCTGGTCCAATTTCAACATGTCGCACAAGTAACAATCAGATAAGTAAGAATCTATAAATGGGATCAAGGTGTGGAAAACCAAATATGCCGCATATTTCATAAACTAAAAACTGGAAAGGTCCCTATTTGTTAATGTAAATATTCAAATGCTACCTGAGATGCATGCATTAAATAAAGAAATATTTTATTTTATCTTAATAAATAAATAATTAAATATTTTTCACTTATTTAATTAGCTATTAAATATGTTTCTCTAGCTTCCAGAAAATGTAAAAAATGTGATTGGCAATCAGTTGGACACAGGCTCAGACTGGGAACGATTCACTTTGAAGAGACATTAGGATGTGATTTTTTTTTTTTTCCCTTTATGTGACCTTATAAAGCCTTAATGAAAGGAATGTTTAATGGTTGTAGGAGTCGGGGGAAATTCTCAGTCCTCGACCTTCACAGTCTGTGGTTTCAGAAGGTTAAAGGAAATAAAGACAAAAATTAAAGTTTACTTTTGTTTCCTCAATGTTTCTGGGAATGACGTGGAGCCCTCTTTAGGAATGTATGGAAGAAAGCGTCGTTTTGAATTATTAATGCAAAGCATCTAAAGGCATTAATCTTTTTCTGTTTGCCCTTATAGTAGCAAAAGAAATGCTAACCAATGTTTTATAACTGAAGTTATCTGTAAGACTGGATAGAGCAGAATATACCTCCTATTTTCCTTTATGTATTTTTCTTTGTGAAAGCATCTCCTGATGTTCTAGAGGACAGAATTTCTTTATCAGCTTGTTAAAATGCTTTAACTCTGTTCTGATGCTGTTAGCCCAGCAGCAGAGATCACAGACTCTCCCCAACACACTGATAGAAGATCTGTAGCATCTTGCTGCAAACACTGAAGGACAGACGCTTCCTTGAGAAAGAAATAATCATGTTTGCAGGGATTTAATGCATTTAGCGTTAATCAGTAGAAAAATAATAATTTTTGTCGTAATCACTGATTCTGGGAGCGGCCATTTCTGCCCAAATATAGTAGCCCCTCCCTCCTGCCATCTTCCAGCAGTGACGTCACGGTGCGGTAAGCCTAGCGCCATTCTCCCCACTTTACAAGCAGAATCAATGGGAACTACTAGACACATCTGCAATCAACAACAATTATTGAAGATTTCCAGAGTAATAATCAACATAATCAACAAATTATGGTTCTCAAGTTATGGTTCTCCCCTTTTGAGACTCTTGAGTTCTTAGTTTTTAGTTATTTTTTATTCTGTTTTGTTGA